GCATCTGGGAGGTGACAGCATTGATACCTACAGACTGCGCCACAGCAGGAAGAGCACGTCGGAGAATCTGAAGGTAGGACGTTGGATGTAATATGCGCTGTACTTCCATCTCAAACCTAATAACTACGCTCTTTTTCACCAGTACGTAAGCTTACCTGATTGGAAACTGTTCTGCCCACTGAGGAAGCGGATCTCTCCGAATTAGCTCCAGTTGCTGGAGTACTTGGGGCAGATGTGGACTGAGCGGGTAAGCTTGCAGCTCGAGGGATAGATAAATTATCTGAATAGTGATGACCTGATTAACTTAAAGACAGTTCAACATACTGTAGTGACACTTACCGGCATTGATTGCGGTATCAAACCGCTGCGGAAGGTTTTCGTACATCGCTGTTTGGGCTGCAAAGCGTTTACGCATGTACTCACTCAACTGCTGCGCATTCTGAAATGTAAAAATGGAATACATTCGACTAACTCAGTAACACAGTACACCTTACCTGCTTAGCATCAGGACCATTCAACATTTCCTGGAAACTAGGGATAGGAACGTCAGCTAACGACATTGGGTTTGGATTGGTGCCGGGTGCAGGTAATGGGGCCTGCGGATCGAACGGATTGACCAACGGCATATTTGACTGGTATTGCATCAGAAAAGGGGATGTTTTTGTCAGCATTTCAAAAGCTTCCACACGTGCTTTCATTTCTGCTGGGGTCATGGAAGGTGTGGGGTTAGACGACATTGGCATCGCACATCCACTTCCGGCAGGGAAGGCCTGGAAGAATATTCCATTTTTATTGATGAGCAGAGTTTCAAATTTATAACTCACGGGAGTAGTGCCATCACCCAACCCAGAGAACAGAGACGCGAACCAAGATAAAGCCGAACTATTAGAGAAATCAGCAGGCAGGGATACATAATGACCGGGCTAAACGCTACCGTCAGCAACTCATCTGAGGAGATATGCGAAAAACAAACCTGGGAGGGAGGAAAACCGGAAAGTCCATAACTTGCTGGGTCTGGAGGTGTAGGAACTGCGCCTGTCGCTGTCTTGGGTAAAGGTGGCATACTACTGACGGGGTTCACCAAGGAGGGAGCAACTGCCGCTGATGCGGCAGTTGCAGCTTTCTTACCTCGACGAAGAGCCGTTTGCTAAAAATTGAACTGTGGATAGATCATGCTTGCAAAACAGATGTAATTCTCAAAAGCCCTTACAAAGGCGAAAGCTAATCATACCTTAGTAGAAGCTGTTGGGGTTGGTGGTGGTGGAGGA